GTGAAGTAAGCAAGGGCTGTCATTTGTGGACATCATTCGGTTTTTAAGAAGCACTGACGAATTCTAAGCTTTGGATTTTACTCGTCTTGATGTTTAGGTAAATTTACAGTCTTCTTATGAGCTGCAGTATATAGGAACAGGGTTACATTCTTATAAGAGAGAGATATCACAGTCTCCAGGATGCCAGTAGTAAAGTAATCGTCCCACTGATTGCATCGAGTGAGTTCTTGGACTATTCCCCAATCTATGTGCTCGTAACTACGCTATCTCATGATCCATGAATCGTGTTTGCTCCTTGTATTTAGTGATGAGAGAGTCAGAGAGCAGAGTCCCATTGGTAAGTCGCTACTGGAAAATATGTCACCAACATATATGAAACGAGTATTATGTCATAGCAGAACACAGGGTTTACAATATTACCACGGACAGGTTCCTGGACGCATTGCTTCCAACCATAGCAAGCAATGGTATAAGGTATTTAGCCGGATCATCGGGGGAAAGAACCATTTAAGCAGTTAATTTCTTCAAGGCTTAAGTGCCCTTCATTTATTTTACAAGCAGTACTAAACGAGGAGACATTGGCACACAGTTTAGTCATCAATGAATCAGTTGTTATCAGACTTGATTAAACCTTGGTGACTACCAGTTATGAATTCAATATTTTGCTTACACCGTCAGACACTCTAAAATCACCGTCAGGAAGTAGAGATAGATCCCTTATCACGCACGGATTTTGAAAAAGCCTTCATAGAAAATGATCAAAGCAAATTCTTTTCATGTGGTTGTCTTCTCTGAGCTAGCTGGGTAGTTGATTTGCGAATCTTTCATCACCTACTAGGCGACATCTTCTTTCAGCGCATACTTCAATTTGAATTGAAGTCATCTTTTAGATTTCTCCACGAGTTTATTCATCACCACTCCTGGTGACCACCCTGCACGTGATTTGTTGTGGGCGGCTACTTATATTGGAACTGATTGTTTCTTTGACTTGAACTTCGACCCTCTCAGTGTGTATTTGTGTAAGCAACACCAACGCCAAGACTGTTATACTGTTGAATACGAAGACAGCTTTTGTGACCCACATACACAACGACATTCAACACAACCATCCTCCAGACATCATTTCATATTCCATTCACAATCAAAAGTTTAGTCGCTTAGCCTGATAGCTATCTCGTGTGCTCATTCAACTGTCCACAGGAACTCTACTCTCGCCCGTATGAATAATCCAGGTGAGGTACAAGAACTAATAGGAAGGCAGCTTCGAGTGATACACGACATGCTAACAACTAGCCAACCTGTAGCTAATTCGCCAGTCATCCGGAATTACTCCACAGTTAGATCAGTTGTATTGGCTGGAAACCACAGAGCAGGACACGGTAAATGGATAGAAGGAGTGATGAACGGCGGACGTTGAAATATCATGTATGCTGTCACAGTGAGAACAGAGATGAACCAACCGATCAACTACGTCGGCGAATTGCACCAAACAGAAACAGGAAACACCATTGATTTTGCACGAGACATAGTACTGGACACCATCGGGATACAGTGACAGAAGAAACTCTATCCCCCATAGCAACGACATACTGTCTCGACGTCAAGCAGTGTGCTACAGGATACAAAATATGCGCTTTCAATTTGAACCCGGGTAATTCTCTCCCGAAAATAGCAGGTGATATGAGGCTCTACACTTGGTCTATCAGTTGATTTCATTTTTTCCAAACAACCTCTGCTAGGTGACATGAGATCGATATCGATGTTCTATCGATTGATTCCATCCTTTTCAGATCACACCGATTGTTATTATTATTATTGTCACTAATTATGTCACTTTTAATACACATTAGTTGACATACTGATGGATACACGTTCTCCATATGAGTTTGTTTATTAGATGGATATATCACACAGCTATTCAGTGAGTGAGTGAGTGAGTGAGTGAGTGAAACAGTATTGGTATTTACTGGATGACAAAGTTTCGACCACAATTCATTAATGCTGTTGAAGCTCATATGAATTATGATCACACGACTTCGAAACTTGAGATTTATAGTCTTCTTTGTTCTCTCCTATTTGTCGTCTTTATTGGGGTAGTGAACATTTCCAGATATCTGGCTGGACAAGTGTTGAATCATTCCTATTACATGTATTTTCAGGTGATTCGATAAATATAGTACAAAAAATTAGGTACTACCTCGCTAAGCCAGAAATAATTCTGGTAGAGAGGAAAGGTTGGTCATGAGGCTAGAAACCCCATCTTGTAAAATGAACGCTCCTACAGAAACTTCAAGCCAATAGCTTGGAGTCGTATATTCAACTGGGGAACTTGAAGGGAAAAAGAATCTGATGAAATCTAGATCACACAGTTCATATGAACTCTATCTATTCACATTAAACTACTTAGTATGAATAAGTAATTGGAAAGAGAGTTGTGCCTGCAGCTTCAGATGAGTGTTTAAAATTATGCGAAATTGCACCTCTTCAACATGGAAAAAATACATGATACTAGTAGAAGACATCGTGATACTATTGACAGATGTAAAATCTGCAATAATAATGAAATGACTCGAATGTTGTCAGCTAAGTAGGTTACAAATACTAAGACAGTGTTAGGCAAGGAAGCGGAGAGAACTAATCGAATAGGTTATGCAGCTGTATGCATCCTGATGACGATGACTCATGTGTTACTCATTCCAAACTGCCAGCTCCCTCAACAAGCAATCTGAGCTGACATCGAATTAGGTTGGAAATGAGTTGGCAGTGACCAAAGCAAAACATCCAGTTGTAACAACAGAAGACAAGGGCGAAGCAACAGATCGTTTTATTATGAAAATCAACACGTATTTATACATCTTTCAACTACATTATTATAGACAAACGCAGTCATCTGATTGGTTGTTTAGGTAGACAAACTCAGGCTTCTGATTGGTTGTTTCGGGATTCCTTGACAAATAGAGTTCTCTCTGCGAATCATATTTTGCCACGTTAACTTTGCTGTGATTGGTTGTTGACTCAGGCTTGTTCATATTTTCTCACGGCCCATATTAGTGACCTAGACCTTAACGTAGATTAGTGCCAACCAATCGGCTAGCAGCCTGCTCTCACCACACTCGTCCCCCCGTCAAATAGCTTCGTGCGCAGACGTTCCGACCTTCTGGGTGCTACATCCTCTAGTTGAGGATTGTTACTGACCGGCTTGTCACACTGTACCCATCTTTGGAGCTGACTGGCGTTAACTCGTTTCTGTTTATCACCTACGGCGTCTACCCATCGTGTCGCGTGTTCCGTCATTACCAAGAGGTACTGATTACCATTGGATGTCTGAGGAAATGGACCCATGACATCTACGGACCACAAGTCACCTATCGCGGTAACTGGAATCGACTGAAGTGGTGGTCGTATATACCGGTCACCTTTCATCAGCTGGCACCGTGGACATCCAAGTACGTATCTTGCTACGTCTTCTCTCATACCTGGCCAGTACATACTTTGTCTTAGGAGATCGGTCGTTCTGGCCACGCCTGTATGCGCTAGCTGGTGACATTCTTCTATCATGTCGTGGCGCGACGATTGAGGTATGACAGCCAGCCAGCTTCCGTCGTTCTCTCGCCAGGTCAGAGTCCCGTAGGCATTCACTCTGAGTCGATCCCTCTGTCTGAGTAGTGTGGTTAGCTCCTTACTCGCCGTAGTTTGATCCACTTCTATTCCGTTGGTGATCACCTGTATTACTGTATTCAGCGTATCGTCCAACCTCTGCCTACGTGCAAGTCTTAGTGGGTCTTGTTCTACTGCATGCACTCCGTAAGCGACCTCGGGCAACTCAGACTCATCTTCTGGTCTCGATAACAAATCTGCCAAGACATTTTCACTTCCAGGAACGTGTGAGATCGTAAAATCGTACTCCTGAAGACGCAACATCCACCGTGACAACTTCCCCCGTGGGTCTCTCGCTGTCTTCAAAAATTGTAGCGGCTTATGATCAGTTTCGATGTGGAACCGCCGGCCGAGTAAATAAGGTCTCCATTTGTCGACTGCCCATACCATTGCTAAACATTCTTTTTCTATCGTTGAATACTTTCTCTCTGCGAGTGTCAAAACCCTACTGGCATACTCAACGATTCCCTCGTCCTGTCTTAGGACCGCACCTATAGCGTAGTCACTGGCATCTGTGCACACTGTGAACTGTCTTCCTGGCACAGGTAGTTTTAGCGTCATTTGTTGGTGGTCGAGCAGCTGTTTAATTCTGTCGAATGTCCTCTGCGATTCTTCCGACCAAACAAACTTTGGCTCACCTAGTAGCCTGTATAGAGGGGCTGCTATCTCATTGAAGTTCTTCACGAAGCGGCTATAAAACGCTGCTCTACCCAAGAATTGTCTCAGTTTTCTCTTTGAATTCGGGGCTGGAATCGTTTTAATCGTCAAAATTTTCTCCGGCAGTGGTTTAATCTCACCATTTCCCACTTTATGTCCCAACAGAGTAACATTCTTTTTGGCTATCTGGGACTTGGTTTTGTTGACGCGTAGTCCAAACTCTTCGATGCGTCGCAGCACGGCTTCTACATGGTTGACGTGATCGTTTTCGTTTTGACTGTATATGACGAGATCATCACCATAAACCTCCACGTTTTTCAAGTTCCTAAGTAATAGCTTCATCAGTCGTCTGAACGTAAACGGTGCACCTGCTAGTCCAAACGGCATGCGTTTAAATCGATATTGTGTCTGACCCACGATGAAAGCCGTCTTATCTCTATCACCTTGTTTTATCGGTATCTGCCAGTATCCTGAGCGAAGATCGAGAACCGAAAACACATTCGCGCCTTGTAGGCGATCTAAAGTTTCTACCACTGTTGGCATGGCACACGGTCTTAACTCTGTCATACTGTTTAACTGTCGAAAATCAACACAGAATCTATACTTCCCATTCGCTTTTTTTACTAACAGCACTGGAGAGTTGTACGGGCTATCAGCTTCCTCAATAATGTCATCTTTTAACATCTCTTGCACTTGTCGCTCCACTTCGCCTTCCAGATGACATGGAACTCTTCGCGTTGTAAATGACCTTACTTTCGGATCACTTAACGGAATTTCATGATTCACCTTATCGCAATAACCGTATGGGTCGCCATCTCCAGTGAACAGATGATCGTATTTACTAATTAACTCTGTCACATTGTGTACCGTCGGCAGCTTAATCGCTGCTATCTCGCTGGTCTCATACATGTTGATATGCCCGTATTTCGTGACCACCACGTTCGCTTGCGTGTCGATTATGGCACCAATCTCACGCAGAAAATCCGCTCCTAATATCGTTCGCTGTAGTTCGGGTACAACAATGAAAGGAAACGTCACCTCGCAGCCACCAACAACGACCGTACAGTTCGATCTACCCGTTATACGCAACACATACCCGCCTACTGTTTGTACTGTCAATGAACACGGGCTAACACTCTTACATAAATTCTTATCTATTAACGACACGGCCGCCCCTGTATCTATCAAACATACTACTTCTCGATCATTCACTCGCAACTTCGAATACAGAGCGCCTTTCTCAATAGCCCCCACTAAATCTAGGTTCATACGAAAGAAAGAACAAGCATTATACCGTCTGAAATTTTTTCTTTTCCGCCTTTCTGGGCAGTATCTTCTCCAGTGTCCCGGCTTACCGCATTCAAAACACCGGTCTTTTCTATCAGCCAACTTTAACGCCGCCACTTCCCGCTGCAATGCTTCAATTTTCTGCTCATATTCGTTTGGTTTTGGTTGGTCTATAGCGGCTACCGTTGTGCTCAGCAGCTGTCTGGTCACCTTCGCCAGCTCACTAATATCCATCGGCTGCGTTGCGTTAACCAGTTGTAATCGCTGAGAAATGTGGTCTGGGACACTCTCGATGAATTGGGAAGACAGTAACTGCGCTTCTGATTCTTCATCTAAAGTGGGAAGCGCGCGTCGAAGTAGATTAGTCAGTTTCACCGCCAACACTAGCGGGTCTCCATCAGGTCCAAGCTTCATTGACCGGAACTGCTGCATTGCTAGCTGTCTGTCTGTTTCGCTGTCAAACTCGGACACTAGTCGTTCAACCAATTTCTTCCAAGACGCTGTGCCATTTGACCTGTCTACGCTGTCATATGCAGCCTTCGCTCGGCCTCTCAACAGCGTCCCCAAGACAACTGCCTTCGCTGCCTGCTCCTTGACACCCACCAGCTCAGCAACAGCCTCGAAGTCACGTAAGAAGCTCCTTATGTCTCCTTCTTCAAACGCAGCTGGCCACGGGATCTTCATTTTCTGGAGGCAGCGACACCAAATGTAACAACAGAAGACAAGGGCGAAGCAACAGATCGTTTTATTATGAAAATCAACACGTATTTATACATCTTTCAACTACATTATTATAGACAAGCGCAGTCATCTGATTGGTTGTTTAGGTAGACAAACGCAGGCTTCTGATTGGTTGTTTCGGGATTCCTTGACAAATAGAGTTCTCAATCTGCGAATCATATTTTGCCACGTTAACTTTGCTGTGATTGGTTGTTGACTCAGGCTTGTTCATATTTTCTCACGGCCCATATTAGTGACCTAGACCTTAACGTAGATTAGTGCCAACCAATCGGCTAGCAGCCTGCTCTCACCACACAGTCAATTCATGAAGTCCTTGAGAGTTAACCTGAAACGCTTAGAGACAGGTAAGCTGACTGACTGACTGGCCGTGGTCCGAAACCGACGAAACCCCAGTGGCTTCAGACTGTCAGTAAACTGACTCAAAATCTCTCTCAATGCTGTGCATATGTATTCACTTATGTGTCTGTTGTAAATTCTTTTGCAATCTCGTTTAACTACTCATGACTAGACGAAATGAAACTACGAAATTTACGGTTCACAAAGTTCAAAAGTATAAACACGTCAATTATTTATACCAGTGAGGGTGTAAATCTCTTCACACACACACACACACACAAAAAACACTGGGACCACTAACAGATGAGAAGAGTCCTCATCAATATTGGCAGATTGTCATCTCACACTAATCCTTGATGTCAATTATCATTAAAAATATAGAACAAAATGTAAGTCATTTTAGTTAAACAATTCGCCTAAATGAAATAATTGGAATAATTAACAAGTTTGTTTTAATGAGAGAGACAGGCAGAGAGAGAGAGAGAGAGAGGGAGAGAGAAAATAATTTTGAAACAAACTCTGTTTGGAAGTTACTGAACAACTCGTAATTCCAGTGTTCTACTAGAAAGCTTGTTCATTTTATAGTCTCAGCTAATCCTCACTTACAACTTGTAATAATTGAATGGTAGACTTTCCCGTCGATTGATTGGACCGAAGTACTTGGTCTCAGGTTGGCATGTCTGTTGGCTTCTTGTGTAGATGCTTCGACAATGTCTGGGAATGCAATTAGAATTCAACTTTTGGATGGTGACTACTAGTGGAATCCAGGATAACGCGAATTTCGTCCTATTTGGGACTCGTGGTCAGCTAAATATATACCTGAATTCCCCAGTGAGTGATCATGTTCCTACCGAGGCTAGAACCCAGTGTCCACAGTTTCAAACGCCAAAGTGGCTCAAGTGATTTGGTGGATAACACTCCCGTTCGAATTTATTCTCGACATCTTCGAAATGTTGTGCCTTATCTGCACTCGAATTGATTGAGCCACAAAGGAGAGACGACGGAGTACTAGATCGGTTAAGCGTTGGAATATCTGGACTGTCTGTATTCATTAGCCCAATCGACATGGGAACGTATTTGTATAAGTCAACTGGTGCGGTATTGGCGGTTTTCGGAACGTCATCAGGATGAATGGGAATGTGATGACAGACTCTTACGAGGTCGATCTTGGAGAAAGCTTTAACACTCGGTAAACAGCTGGCGAAATAGTTTGTGAATGACTTTTAGACACCATATGAACTGGTGAAGAGCTTCCACGAGCGGCCAGATGGTCAGATGGTTCTAAGCTTAAGAATTTTGCAGAATTCTGTCTTTGAGAAAAAAGGTTGTTTTAGATTGATGCATCGAGGCCGTGCGAAAACTTGTGGCCAATTGGTTTTAATATGGTGAACGAGTAATGTCTCAATTTGTCTTCTCCGAAGGAAGGTTGGAGAAGATCGCGGAACTGATCCACTCATTCGGTAAACGGAGAAGTCGGCTTGCGTGTGACCATCAGATTTGAATACGATGCTGTGCTGACTGTACCAGTAATGTACGCTTGATTGTTGGAGGCGATTGATTTTGGACATATTGGACCTACGTTCGATTTTTTCTTAGGCTTGTTCATTATTTATATCCCATTGTATTATTATTCAATATTGCATTTCGTTTCTTATATACAAATACAAATATATAGTTCGCGGCTACGTACGTTTTCGTCGGCCCCACGCGTTTTCGAAATTCAATTTCGTTAACAATTCAGCAACAATCTTTCCAAGTTTTCACTCGTGCTTCATGAAAAAACGTTGTTCGTCGTTGACCGTGAACAGCGAATTTAGCACCACATATCAGAGTGTAAAATCGTGGAAATACTGGAGATTGGTGAACCGATCATATCGAAACACTTTCCGGATTATTATCATCATTCTCACACCCGTGGATCTATACATATCACATATTTTGAAGTGATTTCATTGTGTTGTGTCAACGAGGAACCTGCATTTTCTCGTGGTAAGCATCACCATTTTGTCTCACTCTTCGATATATATTCAGTTTGTATAATTTTTCTATTTTGTTATCCACAAACCACTTTTCAACTAATTCTTCACTGACCTTGGCGGCCTGCTTAAATCTTCGGCTACCAAATACCTTAAACATCACAAATCATATTGCATCTAATTTCTCATTTCCGATTCATCATTTTAAATTACTAAATCTGATTCAATTATGACCTCTAATCGGATTATTTATTCTCGCGACTATTTATTATCCTTAAAACCTCCTGATCTGCAATTCCACAAAACAGACAAACAGAGCATCATTCCGGGTGTCAAAGAGCCTTGAAAACAAACTCCTATTCAATTCGTGACTGTTCCCGAAATTATGAGTACTAATTGTCGCTCCCTGTCAGCTAAAATTAACTGTATTCAATCACTTGTTTCTTCCATTATATATCGTAATACTGGGATCAAATCACTTCGAGAAACATGACTACATGATCTATATGATGACAATCTGGTGTATCTAAATGACTTCAAATTATTTAGACAAGATCGGTGTAGTTGAAGGAAGAAACGCGGTGGCGGTGTCGCCATTTTCTTTAATTCACACTGGTGTACGTCTAATAATGTATGTTTCAAATTCTCTATTGACAATATTAACTGCCTCAACATTCCGTCGGATTTGGCTTCAAGAGTAAAATCGATGTTTTGGTGGGCACCAGTGAATGTTCGAGTTTATTCTTCACCACTCCTGGTGTGGACCTGATTTGTTATAGGCGGCTATTTAATTTGGAACTGACTGTTTCTTTGACTAAAATTCGACCCTCTGAGAGTGTATGTGTGTGTGTTTGTGTGAGGTTTCCTTCTTATCGGCTGATAAATTTTGTCTATCCTGATGTGTCTTCTGATCGATGATTCACTGGAATGCAAGGCAGGCTTCTAAATATTCTCTAACGCTTTTGTCGTTTTCTCTGTCTAATATTTGAACGTGGGTTGTCCTAGTGGAATTGGGGTCCGTCGGTGTCTGTAAAGTTCAATTTTAACAGTTTGAAAAAATTTGGGCATTGGGTATATGTTGTGCTAAAACGAGATCTACACAGTTCATTCTTACAGAAAATAAAAACAATCTATCTCTCAGAATCCAGTTTATTTCGGAAGTAGGCAGAATCAGACGTCAGTGAACACTAGCATTTCTAGACTGGCTGTCTAGTTAAGAGGAGGGTAAACGGACATTTTGGTATATCCATATTCAGGAAGAAAATCCATTACAGCAAATACTTAGACTTCGGATCATCACACACCAGCAGCGCCAAAGTATCAGTTGTTCCACGTCTTCTTAGACTAGCACACTCTCTGATGTTTGCGGATGAGAAAGTAGAGAAATAAGAAGAAATATTTAATAATACTGAAACTCTTCTCAAGGAAAACAACAACCCAAGGAACTTTATCAATAAATCCAACACTGACATTAGGTATGTTCGAAAACGTGGACCCCAACTTTTATCATTTTAAATAAAGTGAAGGCGTAGGACGATATCAGAAGAGTACTCAATAAACTCGACATTAGAGGTTTCTTCAATCATCAGACACGCCCACTGCGAAGCAACCGTGTTCACATAAAAGAGCGAATCCCTCAACATTCTCTATCTAATGGTGTTTATGAAATAAAGTGCCTGCTTGGAATGTGATGCGATATACATCGGACAAACATCGCTAGAGTCAAATCAAAATCAGAAGAAATGAACACCGTAGAGCATCTTTTCAACCAATGCGAAATTAATGCAGTTGAACTAGATAAGCGGGAAAAATCATCAGTCAAAGCTCGCCTACACTCCATAGAATCAGGCCACAAAATTGATTTAGACAATATTGAAATCGTCATCCGGAAAAAGCATTTCACAAATCACAAAGAATGTCACATATCATCAGAAGCACTTCATATCATCAAGTGGAATCCAAATTGTCTGAACCCAATAGGAATGATGGACTAAAAAAGTATCTGACATGGTTACAACACCTCCCTCCCCTTCCCCTTGAAGTGACGAAATCAACACGAATGTGATAAGCAAGTTCACTATGTAAACACACACACACACAGTGCTTTTATAATTTTACACACTGATCTAATCCAACAATCTAAACCTGATTTTGTTATCTTTACCAATGGACCAATTCGACAACGCAAAAGTAATCCTATGCTGAGCAACCATTATTCAGTTGTTACAGATAAGCTGAGTGGATTTTGTAAATTCTGGCCTAATAATACATTGATAAAGCTACAAGCATTATATAGTGAGACATCGGTAAAAACGACAATATCGTTTCGTTTTTCATTCATTGGGAGACACAAGAAAACCCTTTATCCTTGTTCTTATATCTCTAATTTGCCTCTAATAGTTCAATTGTAATCGTTTCGCTTCTTGGTAGCAAAGTTAAGGAAAGCGTCTTGTTAGGAACTCGTCGCCAATATATTATGGGGACGTTGACGATATCATGGTGTGACCGAGTGTGAATATACGCTAATCAGATGTAAGGTGGACAATAACGTGTACAGATTGGTATTTCTGAGTAGTTAATTTGTCCTGACGCGAAAGAGGAAAATCAGAAGACCCTCACGATCATGGAGATACGAGTATTTTCGAACAAGGAAAATTAACT